ACACTGGTGAACGATATGCTATTTTTCGTGCTCTCTTATACATCAACTGAAGGGGAAAATCGCAAGTTTCCATTTTCGACAGACTCACTGAGCTTACTACAAAATATACAAAAAATATATTTTCCCAATTTATTAATAGTTGACGTGAAACTACAAATCCGTGAAGCACACGGAAACAGCTATCAAATTCATATGGATTCCATCAATTAGANGTGAATGATTTATAAAATGCATTTAAAACAGTTGTGAAATTTACGTGGCAAAATCGGTGGCGTGATTCATGTTCGGAAAGTAAAATCATCAGTCAAACCGTGGAAGAATTTATCAAATAGTCGTAGAGATCAAATAACCCTCACACATCTACGTCTTGGTCATACACGATTCACCCACGATACGAACCTATTAATGTAGGACATCCAAAGAATAACTCACTAGTAAACACATCCTGAAATATTGCACCTCAAAGAATTGTACACCGCCTACAAGGACTACTGGAAACTATATTAGGTCTGAATTGGGAAACTGATAACGTACTTGCTTTCATAGAAACTATTCATGTCCAAAACAAATTGTGGATATGCATGTATATTGTTGGCTAATAACAAATGGCTTATGCGAACAAATAAACAAAAAATATCATACTTCTTTGTTTTAACTTTGAATTTTATGCATGTCACTGCGATCCACTAAGATGTAATTACTCCTTTGAATTAGTTGAAGATAAAATGTTATTGGGCTCAACGTCTAACGTAATCTTCGTAATGACTCATTTGACCATCCAAAATAACAGAATATGAGTTGATTATTTTATCCGTTAGCGGCAGAAGTTTTTTGGACCAAATGTCCTATATTTTCTGAAAACTTTATAAAATGGTTATGAACCTTGTTTGAGTTTTATGAATAAGCAGGAAACATTCCCGTTCTCGTTCATCATTAAAACTTCGTTCTTGAAATTCTTCGTCATGAACAACACTTGTAAAATGCTATTCATGTAGCAAGTGTTTCCTAAATTATCCAATCCAATTTATAAAATGCATTTAAAACAGTTGTGAAATTTACGTGGCAAAATCGGTGGCGTGATTCATGTTCGGAAAGTAAAATCATTAGTCAAACCGTGGAAGAATTTATCAAATATTCGTAGAGATCAAATAACCCTCACATATCTACGTCTTGGTCATACGCGATCCACCCACAACTATTTATTTAATGATACGAACCTATTAATGTAAGACATCCAAAGAATAACTCACTAGTAAACACATCCTGAAAGAATGCACCTCAAAGAATTGTACACCACCTACAAGAACTACTGGCAACTATATAAAGTCTGAATTGGGAAACTGATAACGTACTTGCTTTCATAGAAACTATTCATGTCCAAAACAAATTGGGGACATGCATGTATATTGTTGGCTAATAACAAATGGCTGATGCGAACAGATAAACAAAAAATATCATACTTCTTTGTTTAAACTTGGAATTTTATGCATTGAATTAGTTGAAGATGAAATGTTATTGACCATCCAAAATAACAGAATATGAGTTGATTATTTTATCCGTTAGCGGCAGAAGTTTTTTGGACCAAATGTTCTACATTTTCTGAAAAGTTTAAAAAATGGTTATGAACCCGAATATTTCAATTATGCAGAAACTAGATCATCATTAACTTATAGTGTTCCATTCAACCGGGTCGGTATACACCGAAATGAATATAAAAATTTGGTTTTCATCCCTCCAGACTCTTTCACGACGTGTAATCCAATAGGGTTAACGATATTTTTCCGGCACGGTTCCGTAACTTCCATAATGAGCAAATTTTCAGTTAATTAAATTCTCCTTGCCGCTGTATGAGATTTACCTGTACAATTAATTCCGAGTTAATTAAAGAAGATGATAACGGAATTTTTAAAGGTTTATTTTTTCAAGGCGAAATTTACGAGCAGTACACGTTTCGGAGGAGCTTTCAGAACACAGCTTGGGAATCTAGCATCGATAAAAAGAAGTAATGTATTCATATACTTTTAAAAATTATTTCTTTGTAAGGTTCGAATTAATTGAAAGTGTACATTTCCAACTGTCAACCAAAATATAGTCTTCTGGTCTATGGCTATACACTGCGGAAAAACTCAAAGGAGACAGTACCGCTTTCAGAAACTGCATCACCATTTTAGATGAATGCAGGGATCTGTCGTTCAAGAGATAAGGAAGATAAGGAAGGTAAGAATCTCCCCAAAAAGGACTGTTCATAATGAAATTCTGTTTACAAGTAGTTAAAGTGAGTACTAACAATCCGCCTAATTGTTGTATAAAAATATATTTCAAAATTTTAATTATGTCTAATTCAATACGTCTTTGATTTAATGTTCGAACTGTTGACCACTCTCATCCATACAGTAGTAATGATTTTGTTCGAAACGTTCTCGCATACTCTGAAGTGGGGGTGATTCTCGATCATTCTTTACAGCAAATCTTCCAAAGATGTTAGTTTCTCTCAACAGATTCTAATTTCAAAGAAAACATCAAAAAATCAAGAGGTGGCTAGTATCGTATCTCTGGAGACCAATCAGTGCTGCTTTACTCAATGTTGGTCTAAATAGGTATTGTAACAAATTTATAAATTAACTATCTTAAACAAATTTATTTCCAACAATATTCCACTAATCCCAAACTAATTTATTTATCACAACACTGAGCAACTAATGCTTAATTTATGTCCACTATTTGAATTTCTCTGGCTAGCCACCCGATTCACTTTTTGGACTGCCCTCTTGGGTCGGGAATACGTGCTTATATCGTTAACGGTCCTTTCTAGAATTCTGTAGTCAATTCGGTCCTAGAATGTTACCGGCAATTTCCGACTGCATTCTTTTGGCGGTGATGTCATGTTTTTGTTCCATGATTCGGTCTGCGTACTGGTCAAGAGCGGCTTCTGATTCCTTACAGTATTAATGAACCATCGTGGTGTAATGCCACGATACCGTTGATTTTGATCAATAATTTTCATGGTAATCGATTGGAAGATGATTAAATTTTGAACAAGAGACTATCTTTCTTAAATATAAAAAAACGACGGTATCTCTGTTTTTTCTGAAATGTTGACACACCTTGTGATGACTTTTGTTTCGTTTCAATTCGGCCTACTTGTATTTGGTTTTGGACGAAACCAGTATTGCCCTTTAAAAAAAATGTATTCGAATGAAATATTGAGTTTTAAGGATCTCTACACATTCAGACTTCTAATATTTGTTTGAAATGGAGATTCTGCTTATAGGAGTCCTTTGTATTTATTTGTATAGCAGCCTTGAGCGATTAATCTTATCGTTATTATATTACCAAATATGAAAATGACATTTTCAACAATTTACGACATTCTTATCAACAAGAAATCGTACGATTCTCCTCCATTCATAAATTCGAATGATTCCTCTCGTGAAAAGTCTGATGAAAAAGTTGATGTATTTCATTAAGACGCTTTTATTAGCTTTACTTGTATGTTTGTTTGTTTGTTTGTAACCGACTCTTTTGGACTCGATTTTGATTAACTTCAAACGGACTTTGTACACTTATCAAGAATCGTTGACAATACAATGATTTCATAAGTTTATATCATCCAGATCGCCAGGATTGAATAATTTTCTCACAGTGTCTGTGTGAGAGCAAGTGAGACAATCACACTATCTGCGCATGCGTATATGTTTTATATTAAAACAAATGGGCTTGAAATAGCAAGCCTAACTGAAAAATGGAAAATAAATGATAGTTTGCAAAACTGAAAAAAAAACGCTTTATAAACAACACAGACTAAAAAAAAAATTCGAAATTATTATTGTTGTTAAAAAGCGTGGAGTGCTAAATATCCATTGTTATACCTGAATACTTGGTTAGGAACTGTTTGCCAGATTGGAGCCATCATAAAAATATAATTTAAAGCATCCCGCGCTCCTTTACAACCAAATTAATATTTTTGGAAATAGATTCATTCTGATTTCAGACGTATCAAAAGTCATTAGTTACATGAAGCTATAGGACTTATTATCGATGTTGAACACAATCTTGAATTAATTTCGAATTATTTTTTATTTTTTTGTTATTGTTATTAAAGCATGTTTTTTAGTTATTCAAACTATTATTTATATCAATTATTCGTTGAATATCAATTATTCTTCTACAGTTTCTGATAAAAGTTATATTTGATCAAATTTAATGTCAGCTTCAATTTACAATTTACAAAATTAATAGGAAAGAAATACTAGATTCAACACGTCCACTACCATGAAAATTGTCAACTGATCCAGATGAGATAGAGTCAACCTCAATTTGTGAGTTCCGAAACTTGAACCATTGGGAATTGGATAAAAAACATGCAAAATTGAAAGTTATTTTGTAAATAGTAGCCAATGAATATTACTGGAGTTCTATCCAACACAAAACCGTTATTTTTAACACTTCTTCATGAAGAGTAAACCTTCCTCTTGAAGATGATCACTTGGTGACTCAAAGATATTTGAAACAATTTGAAGTATTCATGACGCTGAGATTCTTCAGTCCAATTTAAATGATTTCACTAAGGAGTGTTTGTCATAAAATAACATTCTCACTTTTTAATGTTACTATGAACATCTTTGAATTTTCTCAAGACGGTGAAATTGATATAATTGCTTTTATTTTCTTAACTCACATAGGTAATGAGCTTCAGCTCAGTTACTCGAATTTGTTTCATCAAATAGGTTTGCCTGTTGATTAAATGAATAAATAATAGCGTTTTACTTACCTATATTATGTGGTCAATAAATATCTTTGATTGGATTTCATTCTGGGTAATTGAAATTGGTATTCTTTCGGTATGTTTCGGTCAAAATTCAATGAATTTTCATTCGTTTAGTTTATAATAGGAGTTGAGTGTTGGTCAGATGTTCCATATTTTGTTCTGGGTTAGAACATCCCGGTTTTTATTTGTCTGTTATTGCTATAGCTATTCGACATTTTATAAAAAACAGTAGTGGGTTTTTATGAAAATTTTATTTGTTAACTCAATCATTCATCTATTCACAAGGTACCTGGAGCAGGAGCAGTGTTGAGGTGGTGGCTGAAAGCTAATGGGCCTTCTGGAAGAGGGGCGGTATGAACTGAACCTCGAGTAGCGGCTACATATCTGAAAATAAAAAGAATAGTGTGATTTCCTGTTTGATTTCAATTAAACCAATTTTTAATGTCAACAATACTAGATACTAGGTTATGTATATTTCAACAATTGCTCAAAAAATTAATTTCATGTTCGTCTTACCCAGTTTGAACAGCAGGGGCAGTATAAGCGATTGGAGCATGGGCATATGCCAGAGGAGCAGCATACGGGGCAGCATAACCGAATGCAGCATATGGAGCAGCATAACCGTATCCGTAGCTATAAGCTTGAGGAACTACCAAACCGGCAGAGGCAACTGCTACGCAGGCAAAAAGAGCGACAAAGATAGCCTGAGAATAAATAAAAAACAGGTTGATTTGAATATCGGACAGTTTTCCTTACTTATACAGACGCTGCTATTGGTGTTATTGCTTTATATGAAGACATTTTTTGAAAAATTTCTAATTCATGTTCTTATCACATTCAAAAATAACAACATTGGCTCTACCCTGTGAATTTGATAACATTCCATATCATATATGAATTTAGTGAATTCGTTAATTGAAATGTATGTATATAGATATAGGATAGTTAATAACGTATCATTGAATACCCTGGGTGGTGGATGGAAAGCACAATGCGAATACTTCAGTTACTTATACTATATCCATTCAACAAACAGAGTAACTCAAAGTTAGATGCGTGATCAAACCATGATCACCAAGTACATTTGCATCTTTTGGGTAAAATGAAGAAGCCTCTTTACGCTGGCCCGATTTAACTGCAATCGGTAGGCGGAATTCATTGTTATAGTTTCGGATTGATCAGTTACGTTTTGAAGTCTGTGATGTAAACATATACGGTATGTTGAAGTTTGAAATTTTCGAAATGTCAAGTACTGATACGGCTGAAGAAACTTCTAAACTTCTACTTATACATTTTTTCTGAACTCATCCCATATTAAAAAAATGAATGAAATTTCAGTCATTCCTGTACACGCAGCCTTGTCTGGGAGATCTCGTGCACACGATAATGTTTTGGAGCACTATGTTACTTGGTTGGACAGAGTAAAGGTGCATCTA